AGTTTGAGGGTGTTTTAAGCTTGAATTTTCAATGAGGGGAAAGGTTATGGAAGGGAGAAATGCATAGTCGAAAACAATGGCTTTTGGTATGCAGGACAATCTTTTTATGGGTGCTTAAAACTATGGGGTTAGGAAATAGATTTAAGTTTTTTTAGAGGTTTTCGAAAAAAATCTAAGCCTATAGGGTGAAAGAAGAGGTCGAGAAGAATTTTTAGAGAATTTTAAGGATTTTTTTGGCTGATTTCTAGAATTTACGCTAACTGTTGGAGAATGTTTAAAGAAAGTTAAAAGGTTTTATAGAAGAAGAAGTGAAATGTTTTAAAAAAAAATTCTTATTAGAAAGATCCGTGTGGACCCAATTCGGATCTCGCACACCTGAACTGTTTAGGCTGTTGCAAATCAGCCCTGGACAAATCCAATCAAATCATTTGTTAAACTGGCAAAACCGTTTCTCAGCTGGATATTAATGTTGAATTGATAAAAAAAAAAATGACCGAACCGTTCCAAACCACCAGATGAATTGGCTAAAATCACACCAAACTGATTGACCAAACCGCTGGCTAGATTTGCAATCATTGATTAGGTTTGATCGACCTTTTTAGGTAATTTTTTATTTTTTATATTTTTTGTTAAGTTTTTAATTTGTTTATCGATGTATATTTAATTTTTATAATTTTTAAAATGAATATATGTTTAAAAAAGTGTTGATTTTTTTTAAAATTTTAAAAATAAAAATTTTTTCAATGACGAGATATTAAAGAAATTCAAATAGTAATTTCTTAAAAATCTTTAAATAAAAATATTTTTTTTAAATGTTACTAAAGTACTGAAATATTTTAAAGAATATTCAATACAAAAATTTTCGTTTACTTATTATTTTTTAAATTAAAAATAAAAGAAAACTAAAAAATTAAGTTTTTTTAGGAATAAAGTTTGCATTAAGTAATTAATTTTTTAAAAATTAAAAATACAAGCCTCTAAAGATAGGATTTTAAGGAATCTAAGTGGTGATTCTTAAAAAATCCTAAGGTGAAAATTTTCTCATAATGTTACTAACATACTAAAATATTTTGAAAAACTTTAGCAATAAGGTTCCAATTTATTTTTCAAATAAAAATAAAATAATATTTTTTATTTAAGGAAAAAATTCTTTTTTTTGAATAAAATTAATCAAATCAAAATTATGATAAATAAAAGAATAAAAGAAATTAATTATTGAAAGTAAGACCATTTTTGTCAAAAGTAAAAGATAATACATGACTAATTGGTACTATTTTTAATTTTTTTCATGCATAATTGTATTCTTAAACCCAAATTATTTTCACAAACCTATCAGTTATCTTTTTGATAAGTTTTAATTAATTTTAAGTTTTGTTAAAAAAAGTAAATTTTCTTAGGTGACCAATTATACTTAATTAAAAAATATTGATAATGACTTCTTATGCTTTTTAAAAATCATTTAGCGATCATAAAATTTTTTATGATATTGATAATAAATTTTTTAATTCCATAAACTCTTACATTATATTACTAACTATTGATAAAGGGTTTAACGGTTTCTTCTCTTGTCTTGCAGGTATGTTTAGTCATGAGTATTACCAAAGAAGATGATTATGGTAGATTTTGACCTTAAAATTTTGACTATATTTGTTGTATCTCACACAGCCCAATTCTTGCTGCAAAATTTAACTTTTAGTAAAATAAAATTTAGAAAAAATCTTACCAAAAAAGCAATTTTCAAATCTGTTTTTAAAGCCTTCTAGCATTATATTGAGTCAAACTAGTTAAAAATTGAAAAAAAAAATGAAAAATCTGAAATTTCCTTCACGGGTTTCAAATTAATGGTTTTTGTTGCTTAGATAATCCAAAACATATTCATGAAGCAAACAGAAAGTAATTAGTTCTTCAAGTGACCAAGATTTCTGTTCAAGTTTTTACTAGTTTTCAAATTAATGTAAAAAGATCAAGGCAGTTTGGTTTATACGAGACAACTAAGGTACAAGGAAAAAGTTGTAGTAAATTAAGATATATAGAATGAGTCCAAGTGATAAAATCAATTCAAATACATAGTATCATCCCATCTTTGTTTTGCTCCTCTATATGTTTATATTTATGGTGAAAATGGCCATGTGAAGAGCTTAGAATGAGCTGTTCAGCAAAATCAACATTTGAAATAGTTGCAGGCAAATTTGTCAAATATCAGGATCCTCTTGGCAGTGCATGGCAAGTCCAAGGTCGGAAGAGAAGGAGATCAGGTCACATCAGCCCGGCAACAAAATCTCCATTGTTGAATCCTTATTTGACGATTGAAGAGGTATCTATGGCAGTACGCATGCATGCCAGTGTAACACAGCAATTTTTGTTAGAATTTTGGGATACATTTCACATTTGAAGTTTCTGCTTTCTTCTTTTTTAAGAAAATGACATTCCCAATCCAATTATTTCTTCCTTCCCTATCAACGTTTAACTTGTGGCCTTTTTTTTCTAACTTCTTCTAGAAAAATTATTATAAAAAATATATTTCGATTCAAGAGAAAATATTATTGGTTTGAGCCCTTCCTATTTTCAACCCCGCAAAATCAGTGCAATGATATATACTTATCAACTTTATCCATAAAATGCCAACATTCAATCTTATTAGTTTTAGGAGTTCATTTTTGGCAACCTTAAATTTAAAAAAAAAAAAAAAAACAAAAACTTATCTATTAAATTTCAGTGAAAAGTTAGCAAAACATGCATTTTATGGTGCTTGATTTTATTGAAGTTGCATTTATTTTTGGTTTTTGTTAATATTACCCATAAGTTTGAAAAAAGAAATTAAAGAAGGGGAAATTCGGAATTGTATGCATGATTATTGACTTTGCAAAATTGGCCTTAAGCGAGCACGAACTAACAAGCAAAATTTTCTTGTAAAAAGCATGAGAGTGACCACTAACGAATAATGGCACCACCCATATTTCTTTCATTATTTTTTAATTTCACTTTTAAACAGCCTTAAGCAATTAATTTATAGTTTTGGTAGTACTCCTAGTTCATATGAACCTCTAAAATGAGGACAATTGTAAAAATTTAATGCTCCATTTGGAAAATCCTTACAATATTAAACTCTATATTTAACAATATGGAAAAGTTTTGTGGCAATATATAATAAAGACAACTTGTTTTGCTATACATGTTATATTTAGAAAACCCCTTAATAACAATGAGTAACAACTTTGGATATTTGAATAAAAGATTTCAATTATTCAAAAAATAAAATATTTGTAAAAAATCAATAATGCAAAAATGTGTTATTTATTATGACTCTGATATAGAAAATATTAACCAACTTTTTTTTTAAAACATTTTGATGGTGAAGTTTATAATTTTATTATAGTGAAACAAAAGAGACCTACTTAATTAGGGTGCCCCTAAGAACCCTTCCCTTAATCAAAGGGGTTTGAGACAACGACATGAACAACTTAGCTCAATCGAGGACAAATTAAGAAGAAAAATTTTACCTTTAGAAACCAATTAAGAGAAAGGAGAAGTTAAGAAAATTTTTACCCTATATGCTTTTTATCATCTTTTTAGTAGAGAAATGTTTGTATAATTGAAGCACGTGTGCGAAAAAACTTATATAAAATTTCATAAATGAAATTTGTAAAATTTTTTATTAGAAATAAGTAAATAAAAATTAATAGATTAAAAGATCTCATTACATAGATCAAGTGTACAAAATTTTAAAAAATTTTGATATATATATATATTAAATAGATATTTTTAATAAAATTATTGGTAAAATTTTTACTGTCAAATAAGTGTTGATCAAATTTGAATTATAAAAATATTTTTAATAATATTTTATATATATTATTGATTTTCACATTAAATTTTATCAATCTATTGAATTATATTTTTTATTAAAGTTTTATTAAATCACTTTAAAAATAAAACTTCACCTAAATAATTTAATGTAAATAATTTCGTGTAAGTTTTATAACATTTGTGGTTTAAGTTCGATGATCAATTATACATAGCTGAACCCAATCGATTGCTTCCAAATTATCTTGTGATTATGGTCATAAAATCCAGTTCCATATGCAAACCCTCATCATACAAAGTGGAACATGCAATTATTATTTACCACACTCAAATTTATACGTATAAGCATTTGGATTTCTTTAATATATCAAGAATTGCATGTATGGTTGCATGGTAGGTACTAAACCCAAGAGATATTTCCAAAAATACACAAAAACAAAAGTGGGGTTTGTTAGTTTTGGAAGATTAGAATATAGAATTTGGGAAATTGAGTTTAACGTGTCATGCACTCAAAAATAGAATATTTTTTTCTTTTATTTATGAGTTTTTGTTGGTTTGGTTTTTTCAACATTCTCTACCCGTTAAAGATAGAGAGACGACGGCCTTCACTATCCCTTTCTATATCTCTCACCATATCCGTATCTTGGAAAGCTAAGAAAGACTTCCATTTTCAAGTTTTGGGATTGGAGGAATCTTTTTTCATTCCTCTCCCACAATCGCTTTATAGCTTAAAAAATAAGGAAAAAAAAAGATAAACAGTTTTGAGAGCGGTAGAGAAACAAAAAGAAGAGGGCACCGAAAAGCAAGAACACCTTATCATGAAAGCAAGAAAATTGAAACCCACCCGATTAGACTGGCCAACCCACACGCATTTACAAACTCAAACATTGCATTACACGCACTCATTTACCCACACGCTCATACCCACAAAACTTTTTTCTTCTTTTTTTTTCCCTCTCTTCCCCTAATTCAACACTTCTCTTTTTCTCTCTGTTTCTTCTTTTTTTTTTTTCTTTTTTTTTTTGCTTTGGGTTTTTAAAATATGGGAAATCACAAGTCAACCTCACCTCATCATTTGGTCTTTGGTTCTTCAAAGCACCACCTCATATCCCACTTTCTTCTATTTATTTTTTGTTTGCTTTAAGTTTTTTTTGCTTTCTCTCAATCTTCTATATAATTCACCACTCTCCATCATTCACTCCTTCACCATGGGAAACATGAAGGTGCATCAGTTGGCACGTGGATTCTGGGAGCACGAACCATCCCTCTCCCTTGGCTGCAAGCGCTTACGCCCTCTTGCTCCTAAGCTGCAGGCCAACTCTACTGATACCGTCTCCTCTTTCGACCTTAAGAGCTTCATTAGACCCGAAAGCGGCCCTAGAAAAGTTGTCCCCTCTGACGAGAAGCGAGATTCTCCTCAGGTACACTATACCCCCCCTCTATTAATTGCCTGTACCTGCACGGTTATGTCTTACTTCACAATTTTTTAACATTATTTCATGTACCCTTCCATCTTTCATCACTGTCAACTTGGCTGCTCAATATGATTCCAGCAGCTCTTGCCTGGTTTCCATCCAACAACCTTATTTTTGCAAACTATTCTAAAAATAAACCATCCTGTCAGTGACCTACAGGCTACATCCGAGTAGCTAAATAAATATATATTTACTAATTATGTATAACAATGGAAATGGCCTGATGCAGCCCTTTTTTTTCCTTGGTAATTTGAGGAGAACTGGAGAAGGATGAGATTTTGAACTTATAACTTAGATCTCCTGATCCCTTCAGGATGAAGCGTAATCATGAGTTTAAGGCTTTAAGCTATGTTTCATCACTATTAATAATGGAAACTTAATCAAGTAAAGAATATATTGGAAGAACTTTGTGAACCAGAAACTTTATCATGTAGGTGGAAACGCACCCAGGAGGTACGCGGTGGAATCCAACGCAAGAGCAGATAGGGATTTTGGAGATGCTGTATAAAGGTGGGATGCGAACCCCAAATGCACAACAAATAGAACAAATCACAGCGCAGCTAGGAAAGTACGGCAAGATCGAAGGCAAAAACGTTTTCTACTGGTTCCAAAACCACAAAGCACGCGAGAGACAAAAGCAGAAGCGAAACAGCCTTGGCCTTAGCCATTGTCCGAGAATCTCAGCTCCGATTACTACCATAACTTTGGATACTAGGGTACGTCCCCATGATTTAATTATATTACGGTTAGTTTTCCCTCTTTTTTTTTTCCTTTATAAACATGAAGCTTATCAAATTATCTTGCATTTTCTTATAGGTGGAACTAATGGAAAGAGAGGATGATAGTCCATATAAGAGGAAGTGCAGAAGCTGGTCATTTGAGTACTTGGAAGAAGAAAGCAGATCGTCATGTAAAGAGGAGGAAAACAGAACTCTGGAGCTATTCCCATTGCACCCGGAAAGCAGATAAAAGGGTTTGAAAAAAAAAAGCGAAAAAACCTGCTAGAAAACCAAAACTCTGTTCCCATTATGATCTGCTTTGATGATGAAGATGATGACGATGTGCTATAGCTTTTTCCTTTTTTTTTTCTTCTTTTGTTTCGGGAAAGAAGAAAGACAAAGTTGTCTTCTTGTACTCTACTGCTTATTTATTCCTGACTTAAAACCAAAGCGGGTTTGTGCCACTCTCTTTATTCGATCTCTCTCCACTGATCAGCCGGTGAATGAATTGTTTTTGGGTGTGTGATCCTTTTGACTATAGGGGAGAAACTTGTTGAAATGAAGCTTTTAGGTTAAAAGCAGTCACCCTAGGACACTGAAGTCCACGCACCTACTTCTATCATTTATCACCTTAAGCCTGCCTACCGTCTTGAATTCTTGGATATTTTAATCAAGTTTTTTCAAAATTGAATAAGAAATCTGTCCTCATCCCCCTCGATGCCAGAAACAAAAGTAGGTGGATCGTGGGTAAATCAAAATGCATGATCTATCATTGTTATGATTCTGTTGCTTGGAAGACTTCTGTAAAGTTACAACTATATCTATCTACTTCTCTACTGGTGAGTTAATTGACGTGCATTTATTTAAGCATTTAAAAACAAAAGTTGATAGTGCTTTGTGGGCCATATATGACATACCCAACCATGGTTTGGGAGTTGGGAGGGAAATTCATGGCTGCAGTATCTCAGAGAATATATTTTCAAATGGAAATGGAGGGTTTCTCTTGGAAACCGAGAGTGAATTACTGATATTTTTCAAAAGCCTGTGACATAGGAAAACTATAATATATATAAGTCAAATTCACTATGATCAATTTGGTTGTTTCTCAATTCTATCCTTCCCTTAGGCCTTGGACAATCCTCCAGGTGCAAGCTATCCAGTGACACCCCAAAAACCGAGCCATCAACAATTCAACATTGATATGTATCCATCCCAACCTTTTGGAAGAGAACCAAGAAAGCAAAAAAGTCATTGTCTTTGATGCACCAACAGGGTTAACGACTGCACCAATTCGACCAAAAATCGTCAACCCAATCTTCTTATATGTACGTAACTGTTGGAGGCCATATATAATGCTTTCAGAACGATACAGTTAATCAGTATCATTTTCCATAAAATCCAACTAGTAAAAACAAAATAATTAGGTTGCCGAGGAATAATATTAATTTGTCCATATCCAACTAAAAACTTGCGATTGGGAACAATTATACACGTATATATGGAACCAAAGGTCCGTGGAACCTTGGCAAATAGTGAAGCAGAAGTAAAATATCTTTAACATCTGCAGAACATTGGGAACACCGGGCAGAAACCAGTACAATGACCTTGACTAATTAACTCTAATTAAACCAGTCAAGGTAACTGCATGGGTAAGAAATATGCTAGGACCAACTAAGGGAAGTAACGCTCCTTAGGAGGGGGACTTGCACCAAACACATGAGGCTCTAATTCCAAATGCCCCGTTATCCTTATTATTGATTAAGATTTCTTTAGTTATTAGTTTTTTTTTCTCCGGCTTAGCCCACTCACTCACTCCTCTTCAAAACGTCATGCCAAAATTTAATTGATAGGGTTTTTTTTTTTTGTGTGTGTGTTTTGTGGTCACACATTCTCTAATTTCCTATTATATGAATAACATTCTTAGGAAATGGGAATGCTTCGTGGGGGTTAATATTAAGATTCTACAAAGTCATAGGAACTACAGCCCAAGAGGCCCAATCCTACAAAATTTTAGGTTAATATATGCGGGCCTCGTAAAATAGGCTGAGCTAAGCCTCTGAATGCGGGCCTGCAGCTTCGGACTTCTGAAGGCGCTTTTAGATTTTTCGTATCTGGCCCGCCTTCCATTTCATTTTTGTTTTTCGTTGATTTGTAGGCAAATGTAGTTATTTATTTATTTATTTATACATATTTATGCTTTAGTCATTTTTCTCTTCCTTTGTTATGTACAAGAAAATGACAGGAAAAAAAAATAGATAACCAGTCAAGTCTACAGCTGTAGAATATACATGACTAGATAAATGGTGAAAATAAGAATTCCCAAGCAATCTTTAGGGTGTGGGATCAGATGCTCCTTATTACATGTTTTACGGACCTTGAGGGTAGCAGTGAGCTCTGGTCACCATGTGAATTTTGCGACAACAATCGAAAGGGACATATGCCCTTTGAGTAAGAGGTCAAGCATCTAGCATCTATTCAGCCAAGAGCATGGCCGAAGTTTGTCCACCTTTAACCCGAAGAAAGGCTAACCTGTCAATGATTATCTATTGCAGTATTTAACTATCGATCTACCCGTTGGCCGTTGCAGTCACCATTAAATTAAGAGTTCCTTAAGCTGTACAAAGCCACCTTATTGCGCTATTTTCCAGATAGCAGAGATTACTAATATCATAATTCAAACACATTTTACAACGCATTTTACCCAAGAATTCCAGCAGAGCAAAAGTTTTGAATGTGGAATAGTTTGGCTGGGAAATGAATGGGAAAATTCCTAGTTTCTTGGTGAATAAGAAATGGGTTTCTTTCTTAATTATTTCTTATTCCTAGAGGAAAATTTCCAGTCAACTTGAATATTGGACCTGGTTTGCCTTTTTCTGTGGACCTAATTGTCATTATGTGGGTAGGTGGGTGCCTGAATTGTCAATTTGTCAGTGTTGGTAGGTGGTGCCTGAATTGCCAATTTGTCAATATTGGTAGGTGGGTGCCTGAATTGCCATTGCTCTTGATGAGCACTTACCCTAATAATCAGTGATAATCGAAGAGGAAAATACTGCAACCATGATTAAATTGGCTACCAAAATGTTTCTATTAATACTGCAATCATATTCGATTGGCTAACAAAATGTTTCTATTAAGATATAATTTATTATCGTAGACTGGTTCCTATTTAAAAAAGGACTTAAATGAAATCTGCATAAACAACATTGGCTTTTATATAAGACTCTGTTCAGCTATGGGTGGCCGGCAAAAGATAATTTTATTATTGAGGCAGCTGGCTCAGACAACTACATAAAGTCAAGCTGCGAATCCAAACTAGACAGTAGTAACCAAGAGAACCAGATTTTTTGCAAGAAAAATGAATCCACCAACAGTCCGATGCATCTCAGAATGCTTTGTGAAACCACATCATGTTTCTGAAGAATCAAAACAGCCCTTCTATCTGACAACATGGGATCTATCTATGCTTTCCGTACAATATATCCAAAAGGGCCTTCTCTTTGCCAAACCTCCGCCAGAGAATTGTGAAGAAGACTTGATCAAGAATATGTTGGATAGGCTCAGGAAATCTCTGTCCCTCACCCTTGTTCATTTCTACCCCCTTGCAGGTCGCCTTGCAACGAGAAGAGAAGAAAACCCAACTTCTTATTTTGTCTTTGTTGATTGCAACAACAGCCGTGGGGCCAAATTAATCCATGCAGCTGTTGACATGTCAGTATCCGATATTCTTTCCCCAACTTATGTGCCGTTGGTTGTTCAATCATTCTTCGACCATGACAGAGCAATCAACCATGATGGTCACACCAGCCCTTTGCTATCTGTTCAGGTCACAGAGCTGGTAGATGGGGTATTCATAGGGTGTTCTATGAACCATGCTCTCGGGGATGGAAGCTCGTTTTGGCATTTCTTCAACACATTGTCCGAAATATTTCAAGCACAGGGAGATAACATAAAAATTTCACGCCCCCCTGTGCTCGAGAGGTGGTTTCCAGAGGGCCATGGCCCATTACTTAGCCTTCCTTTCAGTCACCAGGATGAGTTCATCAGCAGATTTGAATCACCCCAACTTTTAGAAAGAATCTTCCATTTCTCAGCGGAGTCCATTGCAAAAATCAAAGCTAGGGCTAATTCAGAATACAACACTCGCAAAATCTCCTCCTTTCAGTCTTTATCTGCGTTTGTCTGGAGGTCCTTAACAAAGGCACGCCATTTTCCAAGTGACCAACTTACTGGTTGCAGGTTGGCTATAAACAACAGGTCAAGACTGGAACCACCCTTGTCCCCAGATTACTTTGGAAACTCGATTCAAACTGTGAGAGCGGTGACCACCGCTGGTGAACTGCTTGAACAGAATCTCGGATGGGCCGCTTGGCAATTGCACCAAGCTGTAGTTAACCACACAGACAAATCAGTGCGTGGTTTTGTCAATGATTGGCTTTGTTCACCTTTCATTTACCAGATTGCTCAGCTTTTTGATCCACAAAGTATAATGATGGGAAGCTCACCAAGGTTCAACAAGTACGGAAATGAGTTTGGGTTGGGGAAAGCATTGACACTTCGCAGTGGATATGCTCATAAGTTTGATGGGAAAGTTTCCTCGTATCCTGGACGGGAGGGTGGAGGAAGCATAGACTTGGAGGTTTGCCTTCCAGCTCATTCTATGCATGCTCTTGAATCGGATGAGGAGTTCATGGCTGCTGTTTCTTCCTCAATTTGATGCTCATATTTTGACTTTATCCTCTGTATCTCATGTCTCCCCAACTATTAGCATTAATTTTATTGTCTTGTATTAATTTGCTTGTAAGCCTGCTCTGCAAGTAGGAAGACAAAAGACTGTGATGGGATTGCTTCTGAAAAATAAAAGATTGACTTTTCTTCGATTTGTGCTTAATTGTTTTCCTATTAATTCATTATTAGTGTTAATGGGCACTCCCCATTGCCAATCAGTAGATTCAGCAGACGTGCTAAATTTCGAAAATTTTGAGATTTCTTTCTTGGTTCTATTTATTGAGATTAGGGGTATAAACCATACATATATATTTATAAATTATTGAAATTTGATTCGAAAAAATTCTAAATTTATTTAATTATTATTAAATTAAATTTAAATTCAAATAAATTAAATTATCTAACAATCAAATTTTAAATATTTTAATATTTAATTTAAATTTAAATATTATAATATTCAACTGATTGACGAGCGTAATCAAATTTTTTATTCTTAATATATATTTTTAATATTTTATTATTAATTTATTTTTTACTCTTAACTATATATACACACTTTAAAAACCGTAAATTCCTAACACTCATAACACATTTGCTTCCTCCCTCTTCCCATCACAGCGGCGCCCCTAACATCACACTCTCGATCCTATCCCTACAACAACAGCCACCGCTTCTTACCCTCTGCCTTCATCAACAAAGTTTTCTGACCTTTTTGTGGACTGTTTACTGCAGATTTCTAGCCTCAGCAACGACACCCTCTTTTTTCCCACAACAGTAGAAAAGTTCTCTGAAACTCGAGCAATAGCGAAGCTCCATCAAGTCAAGTCTGGGCACACTGGCATCATAGCTGATAACGGCAAGGAGCGGAAGCTGCAATGAACAGCAACAGGTAAGTTTGGCAAGTGGCAAAGTGGGCAGCAAGCCAAAATTTCATGGTTGACACAAGCACGCTCGCTGAGGAAGGATTCCATTGTTTGCTATTTATTCGTTGTAATTATTCCAATACGTGAGACATGAATTGATTTTAAATTTACCTATACGTTGCATCAGTGAAATGTGAGAAATTCTTTTTTGTTGTTCTTATCAAAATGAGGGTTTTATTTCAGGTTTATATTTCTATTTTATAGAAACTGATTTTATTTTTTCATTTGAAGTTCAGCCAAGATCTGTAGTTTTTTTTTTTTTTTTTGAAAAATAAGGTTTGTAGTTCCTATGTTAACTTGGATAATAGTTTATTGGATATAATCTGAATAGAAGTTGATTGACTATGGTTTCAACTGCTTTGAACTTTATCATTTTATCTTTTATTTGTAGATTTAAATTGGATCGATTGTTGTATTAACTTTTATGATATTATTTCAAAATGTATCAAATTTAATTGAATCTAAATATTTATATTTAAAAATTTTAAATTTAAATTCGAATATCAATAATTAAATTTAAAATTGAATATAAAAATAAACTTATTTTTTTATTAATAAATAAGTTTAATTAAATAAATCTAAATAATTTAATTTCAATCATGAGTCACATTAAAAATTAAAAAAATTAAATTCGATTAAATTTAAATTAAATATTAAATTATAAATTTAGAGTTGAGTTCGAGGTTCTCGTTGTATTGTCTTATCTCAATAATTTCTTTTTATAGATCCAAAAGAAGTCACGTCAGTCATCAAACCTATTGCCTCAAAACTTTAATTTCTTTATAAACAATCAAAAAAGCTGTGAAGCAAATTTTTTGTGTTTCAAATTTATCCTCTAATTTTTTTAAATATTAAAAAGATGTACAACAAATTAAAGTGACATGATTGTTTTTATTGTATATATAGATAGATAAAAAAACCTTTTCTGTAGATAAAAGTTTGTAGGTATATTATTCAATTTAAAATGTTATAATCATATTTAGTACATAAAATAATAAATATAATTAGATATTTATTATTTTATATTATATTAATTTATATTTTAAAAAATAATATTATACGAAGAATTAATTATTTTTTTGATATAAAATAATTTAATTCTCTTAAAATAAAAATAAATATTTTTAATTCATATGATTAAATTTACATATTTTATTTTATTTTATTGTTAAAAATTAATCAATAATTTAAATTATATAAACTTTTAAAAAATTATTTTTTACCAATAAATAAATTAAATTATCTTAATTTTTGTAAACATTAAATATAAGATAAAATAATATTATTTAATATAATCTTATTTATAATATCATCTTATTTTATTTTATCATAATCTTATATATCAAACATATCTTATGACTATAAATTTTTACATATTACTATAAATAATTTCTTCTAAAGCAAAAGTTTTAAATAGGTCAAATTATGATAATGGTCTTTGTAGTTTAACAAAATTTGAAATTTGGTAAATGTAGTTCTTATATTATTTTTATTTGATAATCTTAATTCAATCACTATTTTTATCAAATTTTTACCATTAAAAATGTAGACATTAATATAATTGATGTGACATTAATTTTGTTTACGTGGCATTAACTTTACTTACGTGACATTAATTTTGTTGATAATAAAATCAATTATTAAATTATACAAATGATTTTTGTATTTGCACGGAATTTAAATTTTAGTTCTTATAGTATAATTCATAAAAATTTAATCTTTGTATAGGTTAAATTTAATAATGTTGATTCAATTACTAATGCAATCAATTATTGTTTGTTAATTTTGTTGACAATCATTGTCTTTTAAAAAAAGAATCTGAAAATTAAAAAGTCTTAAAAACTTGAAAAGAAAATATCTAAAATTTAAAAAAATGATAAAAAAAGTTTTAAAAAATATTATTTTTAGGTTTTTTAGATTTTTAAAAACATTAAATTAAAATTTTCCAATATTTTAATTTTTAAAAAATAATATTTCTTAAATGTTTTTAGAAAAACAAGGCTTTAATTAAAAAAAACTAAAATTTCCAAATTATTTATAATTTTTCTTCATTTTTGAAATTTTAAATTAAAAAATTTTCCAATATTTTAATTTTTTAAAAAATAATATTTCTTTTATTTTTTAAGAAATCATATTTCACTTTTGAGAATTTATCAATCTTTTTAAAATATTAAATATAAATTTTCCAATAATTTAATTTTAAAATATTAAATTTAACATTAAAAAATAAAAAAAATCCTTAAAAATTAAAATATTTATTTTTTAAAAAACTATAATTTATTAAAAACTTCAAAAAAAATTAAAATAAAATATTAGTAAATATTAAATTTTCTAAAAATTGAAATTTATTTTTTTGACAAAATGAAAAATGATTTTTCATAAAAATTCTATAAATATTATTTTTTTAAAATCAAAATATTGAAAAAAAATAATATTTTAAATTTTAAATAGCAAAAAAATTCTAAATAGTTCAAATTTTTTTAATTTGAAATTCGATTATTAAAAATTCAAGAAATAATAATTTTAAAAAATTAAAATAGTTGAAAAAATTAAATTTAATATTTTAAAAATCCCAAATAAGCATAAAAATCATCCTTTTTTAATTTTTTGGTCGTTTTTTAATTTTTCAAAAGTTTTAAAAAATTAGCATTTTTTTTAATTTTCAAATGACTTTTTATAAAGATAATGGTCATATCAACAAAGATGTTGGAATGTAATTGATCACATAATTGGACTAACATTATTGAATTCAACTTGTACGAGAACAATATCTTTATAAATTATACTAGTAGAATTAAAATTTAAATTTTATATGATTACATAAATTATTTATATAATTTAATATCTAATTTCATTCATCAATATTGTCATGTTAACAAATTCATCGCTATATTAGTGAATTCACGATCAAATCAATAAAATCAACGTTTACATCTTCAAATTAACGATCGCGTTAATATTTTTAACATTAAAAATTTAGCAAGATGAACAATTAGATTAAAATCATCAAATCAAAATAATACAATAACTATATTTTTATGAATTATAATAGAACTAAATTTCAATCATTATCATAAATTGACCTTTTAAAAATAGTATTTTTTAAAGTTTCAATTTTAATTAAATGTCATCTTGTTTTTATAAGGTTGTTTTTCTTTGTCAATTGATTTGGTAGCACAAGAAGCAATACTTTTATCTTTTTTTTTTTTTTTTCTCTTAAATTGTCTCCTAGGGATTTATATATGTCATCTCAAAGGAAAAAAATTGTAATATATTTTGATAGATTATCTATGCTTATGTTTAGTGGAGTTTTATATCATTTAATCTCTTATGTCAACTGTTGAGATTGGTTGAATTGTTAATCAAGAATATTTCATTATTAAAATTTATGTTTGATTCTCATTATCAATAATTTTTTATAAATAATTTACAAATTCAATATAAATTTTTGGTAACGACCGAGAATTTCTCCTCACCTAAATTTTTTGTATAAAAAAACCTCTTATTGACTTTCGCAATTATATTAATCAAAATAAAATAAAAAATTTGTAATGGGTTTTGAGCTATACAAATTAACTACCTGAAATCCGATGTTTTCCACGTGATATAATGGTAATTAATATTGATATTTGTGATTAATTATCTTCTCTTTAATTTCTTTTTGGTGGAGTTGGTACTATTACAGTAATTTAATCCAATATAAAAAATAAATGGTTGATTTCATTCAAGGTCGTAATACGGCGTGTTTGGTATGTCGGATTTTTTGGTAATTAGAAAATCAAACGCAAAATTCCATATGCTTAGGCGACCGAAAAAATAAAGAAAAACAGGTTACCCTCTAAAGATATAATGAAATTGCAGACTGTCTTAAATTTAGTTCAAAAATGAACTTCAGACATTTTGATACTGTTTAACGTTATGGTTGGATAAACATTAATAAAAGAAAGGAAAGAAAAGAAAAATAAAAGAAAAAAATATTTTTTTAAAGGAAAAAATGATATATTATTTTTTATTTGGATAGCTAAAATTAATAAAAAAAAGTAAATAAATCTTAACAATCATTGTTTAGTTAAATAATGAAAAATGAAAGAAATGATTTATTATATTATTATTTTTTATTATAATATTTGATAATCTTATTTCTACTATAATATTTATATGTTTATGTTAACGTGTTTCATGTTTTTAATTTTTTTTAATTTTTTTCATAAAAATAATTATCAATGAAATTTATGGAATTCATAAAAAAAAAAATAGAGATAATTAATTTTTTGGTAAATAATGTTTTGTATTCTCAATTTAATTTT